AATTTTATTACTTTTACTAGTCGAAATATGTTTTTTCCCTTATGTACGCATACGGCTGAAAGATGGTTTTTATGGATAGTGACATTCTTTTTCTATTTATTGTATTTCTAAGTAATAAAAAATAAAACTACTTTGTAAATAGATGTAAGATAGTTATTAATAATGAATTCTGCTAAAATTAATAAAAAATATGCCTAAGGAAAGTGTTTTTTTTTTATTTATGCTAAATGTCCGTATGGTGTACGAATACGAGTGGGAGTAACTGTACATGACGTTACATCTGGACAAAGTAATAATGACAGTTTTTATTTTCAAAGCAATCTATCAATATTTACGGAAATACAATTTAATCATTGTCAAGTCTGAAATATATATTTTATTTTAGAAAAATTATTTATTCAAATTATTGATTATAAAATAAAACAGTTTCGGTAAGTTTACTTCTTATTCTATTATGATTTATTAATAAATTATTTCCTTTATAATACAATCACACATTGCAATAATGAAAACTTATAATTTTGATTAAATATATAATGTGATTCGATTTTATATTGTTATATGTACATATGTTTGTGATATTTGCTAAATACTGATGGACGAACATTGTTCATAATTTTTACATTTTAACTTGTGTAATATTTTCGTTTGCAACAGTTGTTCTATTTTTTGTTTAAGTTGTATCTCTGATTCAGCAATTTTACAAATGTGTGTAACATCAGTCTATGGTAACCTTAGAGCTTGCTTTACAGTGTTATAATTTTTTATATTTATAAAATTGCCAAACAACTTGTCCGACTGTATTGCTTTTAAACATATTTCACACTGTACAGTATTTTTTATTCTCCGGACTATAAAATCAACAATATATTCAACAATATCTGATATGTACAATGATAGATCTCTGGAATAACTTGCACTTGTAACATGATAACTATGGTCATCATTATTTTCATGAAAAGTTGCATCATTTTCAAAGGTTTTTGTTAGGAGATTATCAGTAGTTTTCATCTTGTTTCATTTTGAAATACTTACTGCTGAAATAATTTTTGGGATTTGTTCAATGCAATTAGCTTGTAAAGAGCTGATAACGCCAGTATGGATTAATAATTTTTTATAAGCAGCGTAAAAAAGTTTTACAGTAGGATTATTGTTGTGTCTTCCCATACTTCTGATGGCACTGAAAAAAACTTCAAGGTGATCTTGCAAAAGTTTGTACGCTAGTAAGTATTGTAATTTGTCATCAATTTGGCTGTCAACATATTGATTGAGTATCTGCATAAGTGATCATAAACTGATAATAAATCCTACAAAACCAGTTTTCTTTGGACCCAAGTGCAGTGGTTCTCTGTGTAGCTTGTATGTTAAAGACATGATGTATTTCATCACTTCATTGATTTTGTTGAATACAATATCTTCATTGTACAGTTGTAAGCCAGCTTTAAAACCTTGGCTAACAGATTTCTGCTGTTCAATATATCAAAAACATTGTTCATGAAAATAATGAATTGTTATGTTGGTTGACAATCCTCAAAATTTGGAGAATGGTTGGTTTCTCTTAAATATTGCAAGGCTTTTACAACACTCAAACTAAAAGTTTGAGCAGCTAGCTTTACTTTCATTTTTTTTTAAACCAGTTAATGTGCCACTTTGTTATTTTAGTTCTTAAATGCAAACCTTCTTTTGCTTGTACGTCTACGAAGTGTACAAAATGTTCCCACTTAATTGCATTATTATTATCATCATATAAAACTTTGCAAGTTCCCAAAGTATTTCAAATAAGTTTCAGCATATGTGGTGGATCTAAAAATAAATGAATAGATTCCCTTGTACGTGCATGTGGAAAACACGGTATTAAACAAGTGGAAGATAATTGAACTGTAAGACACATTGCCATTGCCATATTTGTTGCAGCGCCATTGAAAGTTAAGCTGCAAACTTTATCTTTAACTTCATGAAGTAATTTCAAACACATGTGTACTAAGTTACATTTCTAACTACCTGATAGCCCATCGATTAAAAAATAGTCTACTGGTACTTTCCATCGGTCATTTACACAGTTAACTAAAAATACAATTATCTCTTTTGCTTCTGGTGAAATAATACTTTTAGCTTGTTTGCAGACATCCACATAACTGCAACATATGTATCACTTGTTGAAAAACTCATTTAGCAAGAAATCATTTTGTATATATTTTCATAATTAACTTGTAAAATTACATGCTGCTGAAACATTCTTAAAACATACCCCACAAATTTTTGGCCATCCCACTCTATTTTCTTATGAATTGTCATTTCATCAATTATCAAAGCACAGACACAAGTACGAAAATCTGGTTCACATGCAACTGATGCATGCCACTTTTGCAAGGTTTAAAGATGAGGTAGGATATTATGAAGTGTATATCTAACATAATTATGTGTTCGTGAATAAAAGTTTAAAGTGAGTGCAAAGCTTTTCAGCTTAGCAGGACATGTTTTGGATTTAGATTGCATCATTTGTTTAAATAGAGTCTTGGTGGAAGCGGGTAAATTGACCTAGTGTGTTAAAACAAGAAAAAAACCAAAAAAAAATAGTAGGTGCTACATACAACTAAATATAAAACATCCATGTGCGTTTCTACTTACAAGAGAACTTCGGTAACCCGAAAATTCCGATTGTTTTGAAACTTTGCAGGTTTGTAAGGAGTCTCAAGAGAAGTATCGGGCAATTTTTTTTTTGCCCTTTTTTAGTTCTTCGGGGTGAAAACAGCCCTTGAATAAAGATAAGTGTTACCCTACTTCCCTGTATACCTTTAAAACTATAGTAGATATAAAAAAAATTTTATAGTAAAAATTTAACGGCTTTTTATGCCTTATAAGATGCTATATTAAATTAATAATAGCATTGTCGTATAGATAAAATTGTTTCTAATCTTTGGTTGTTCACGTGGCACAGGCCAGTTGGCTCTTATCTATGATAATAATTTCATTTTCTTCGTGAAAAACCCTAGGGTCTAACATAAATAGTAGTAATAAATCACTCAGAAGCCAAAATGATCAACTCCATTTTTTGATATTCATCCAATTGTAATATCAAAGCACATGCTTGGTTCTTAAGTCTTTATAGTAAAAAAAATTTAATAAATATTTCATGGAGTTAATTACTTTGGTTTCTGAGTGGCTCATATGTTATATTCCATACCGAGTTTCGTATTTCTATTTTTGTTGAAACTCCAGAATTAAAACAAACGCACAGTCGGCGGTCGTTCTATGGCATACGGCGTACACACATACATAAGTACATACTTCTGCATGGGAAACCCCCGGATACGGCTCGCGATTTCTTTTAGTTCGGCCCTAGGTACTCGGCAGAGTACCCGAGGTACTCGGCAGAGTTCAAAAATCGTTTCTTACTCTCTGTTAATTGATCAAAGGCAATGTTGCTTACGAACAATTAACGTGTAGAAGACTGTCCTATTCGAGAATATATAATCAGATTGATTCAATTCTATATACAGTAATGTCTCTCCAATTGACCACCAGCAAGGAACCTAACAGGACTATTGTAGAGTCAGGGTCCCTTTATGACATCTGCAATTTATTTATATAAATTATTAATTTTAAAACTTCAAATAAAATATATTTTTACAAAAGATATGGTATTTGTACATGTAGACTTAATACATAAATTTTGCCTACGATAAATATTTACACAATATACGTATGTATAAACAATACACAATATATATAAGTATACATATATTAATCATATATTTATTGTATTAATTATGACAACTAGCGGGATGATACAAATTGTAAAAACAGGTGCGCATTGAAATGAAATATTTTATAGAATGCCATTTTTCCACTTCTACATTCATCCCTGTAAATATCATTAAAATCCTGGGGGGTCAGGTATGTAGTCTCCTTGATATGTGCTTTGCACATCAATATTTCTCCAATTTTTTATTTCACTGAAAAGTTACAAAATGAAATTACAAAATAATTAAAAATAAAATGTAACACCGACGCACAGTGTTTCGACCAATGGATAAAACTCAGAAATTCAAAGTGTAAAATCTAAAAATTTTTTTCACTTTAAGACGTTAATAACAAACCATAGTTTGTAATATTACCTATAATTTTGACTGAATACGTCCATTTGTCGTTAAAATTAAAACGTGAAATTTGCTCCATTAAAATCAGTGTATTTTTCAAATACATATGTGCCATTCACAGACCATTTGTGATTTTGATTTGATTTTTATAGGTTGTGTTTAGTACCTGAATACCTTTGAAGCTGACACAGAATTTTAATACAATAGTACTAAATTTTTCTAATTTTTTATGTAAAATTTTTATCAAATTTAACGAGACTTTTAAAAAAAGTACCGAGTAATACCTCTGTGATTTTTTGTAAATTAATTTTGAACATATAAATCTTCATATTAATGTCAAATTTAACTGCTCAAATTTTCTCAAAATGAAGAAAATTTTCAAAATCATTATTGACGCGTTCAGTATTCTAGCGTTCTATCCTACTATTGTACGTGTTATTTAATTTTTTTATTACTTATATTGTTATTTAATTACCAAATGAAAATTACAAAACAAAAATAAAAGAGAAATTTTGAATGTATACAAAGTTATGATATTTGTTTCTCAAACCCCTGTATGCGAAACGGCCGCTATGATTTTGCCGGTATTTCCGCGAAACTGATGAACAAATTTTTCAAACAAAAGTTAATCAGTATTACTCGAAACACTACGTCTCACCGAGATTCAAAGGGAATCTCCTAATTCTTACTCATGCGCTCAGGTTGCTCGAGCGTCACGTGGTGACGTAGATAATTGGCGGAAAGAGCCGAACAGGCTTCGCACACGGACAGAGCTACCGCTACACTTGTGTGAGAGCACGAGGACGGTATAGTGGGAGACGGTGGTAGGTCATAGTGGGGGTAACTGCTTTCGCCCACGGCCCACGATTCTGGCTGGTAGGTCATAGTGGGGGTAACTGCTTTCGCCCACGGCCCACGATTCTGGCATCACTGTTATACACCTTGTAACTGCTTTCGCCCACGGCCCACGATTCTGGCATCACTGGGTGGAACAGAGTGAGAACGTAAACACTGACTAGCCAACATCTCGTGAACGCACAGTACATAATCGTGGCATTACAATACAACTGCAATTAGTGCTTAAAATGAATACTGAAGAAATTATTGATTTCACTGCCCTAGGTAAACATAACGTTATAATATTTATGCATAACTGAATGTACAAATTATCGTTATCATTTATCTGCTTGATATTGTGAAGTTAGTTACTTTCAACGTTATCTCAGAACTATATTGTAGTAATATACTATATTACATTTACGTATAGTTTACTATAATAAAAAAATTGTTACCAATACTATTTTTAATGAATAATTTATGTGTAATTATATTAAATTAAATTTATTTTTACAAATTGTAAGATATTGTTGCGTGAACTGTAACATGTGTAACATATGTACCCATTCAATGTATAAATTGTTATTGCTCTATTCTTATTTCTGTTATTGTTCTAATGTAAATTTTCGAAATAAAAATTGTTAACAGAACCAGTTATTCAGACTCTCATAAAGAAGGGTGTAGCAGTACGTGAGTACTCTTATTCACCATATAGTAAATTTAAAGTTGGAGCTGCAATACTTTGCAATGATGGGACCATTTTCACTGGATGCAATGTAGAGAATGCATCTTACCCTGTCTCCACATGTGCTGAAAGGACAGCTATTGTCAAAGCAGTGTCAGAAGGGAGAAGAAACTTTAAAGCCTTAACAGTGATAGGCGACCAAGAAAATAATTTTACTACTCCATGTGGCTTTTGCAGACAAGCTATAGCAGAATTTGGTGATATAACAATTTATTTAACAGGGCCTGAGATGAAAACTGTATTAAGAACTACAGAAAGCAGCTTATTACCTCGTGCCTTTGGCTTAGGAAATGTAGAAAAATTGCATTAAATTTTTATTAGTATTTCTTCTTTATTGGCAATATTTATCTAGTATTCCTTTCTGTTCATTGGTTCTTTTTATTTATCTGTGATTTTGCTAAGACATTATTTTGTCCTATATGGTAAAAGTGTGCAATTAATATTATCTCATGTTATATAAATTGAACTGTAATAATGTTGCTGTACGAGTGGTGCAATTGTAACAATTGAAATGCGAGTTTCTATACAAGTTTCAATAAATACAAAAACAATCTTTAAGAAAAAAATATTGTTACTGTAGTCTTGTTCCTGAGTAGTTTTTCTTTTTTTGTTTACATAAAAAAATGTAATTGATTACCATGTGATTTCTAAAGTGTGTTCTAATGTACATTGTACTTTATAAGCGGGAATAACATGAGTATTATATACAATCAATGTAATAATATGCTTATATATGTACAATATGCTTTAATGGTGTGGTATTATGTATAATTATTCCTTAATAATAAAAATGCAAAAAACAGGAACGTGATTGCATATGATACACATTCAAGTCCTCATCTATGAAAATTTACGTTTACCAGAAGGGACACCTGTAATCAAATTATAATTTCATTAGTGAGTATGTGACTATGACCAATAACTATAACTTTAGTAACTTATTTGTATTATAGAACAATGAATAATAAGAGTGATAAAGAAATACCATCCAATGTAACATTGACATAAATTCTCATTATTGGTAGCCTGCTGAATTAAAAGATCAACTTGGCGTTGAATACTTAGTGTTTCTTCGTGAGAGAAATCGCGTCCGGTTAACTTATCTCTTACTCTTGTTATGATAGCAAGAGCTTTTTTGCTCAGCGCCTCTGGTTGATTAGTATCACCTATATGATAAATCAAAGTAAGTTCATTTTTATTTTTGTTCATTACTCATTACATTACTACAGTTACAGATTTTATTTATAGTAGTTTTTCTGTCTTATAACAGATAAAACAGAAACCGTATCTCATCAAGATAACAAAGCTTACCTCCGTTTTCAACGCTACATGGTACTCCTTTCTTTGGTAACGTGGCGGTAAGAGAATCCAAAGCATCGCTATGTTCTTGATTACTACTGGCACTCATCCCCTGAGCATCAGATCTTTTACCTTTTAACGCGGCATTATCCATTAATCGCCAATTCAACAGGGGGTCGTAGACGAACGCTTCTAACACCGCCATTAAGCTATCCTTATTACGATGTAACACAGACATCACTGACTCGCAAGTCCTTCTGTACGTGCCCTCGATCCCCGTAACTTCCATTGCATTTATTAACATTCGTGTTAAACGGAATGGTATTTTCTCGGGGAATTTCTCTCGTGTCATGGCCACCTCGAAACAATCCCCGAAATCGATGTGCAATATTTTACCACTTAAACGATCCAACATCAAATTTGATGGGTGTCGATCACCAAGTCCGAGAATATACCCCACCATGGACATCACGGCAAGGGAACGCGTGTAATTTGTTCTACGATCAAACCATACCTCGCTCGACGGCGATTTCAACCAAAGAAGTCGCGATAGATCGTCGCCGTGCGTATGTTCGAGAGCATGCTCGAAAACTTCCACTTTTTGCATGAGCATAAGGTGATCATAGCCTGGAGCCATCTGTATAATAAAATTGTAATTACATCATATACTAACAAAATAAAGTACTAACATGTGTATAAATATTATATCTACTTACCCTTAACATTATCTTATGTTCTATATTTAATAATATTTTTTTCTTCTCTCTGTAATCTCTGATTAGCGTATGTAACGTATCACAATGTGGTACCCAACCAATCAGACCACTATTTGTAGACAAAGGAATTACAGCATACCTCTGAAAGTAAAATATAATTAATTAAGATATCTAGAATGATATTACGAATCTTTCATTCTTTATAGCATATACTCACTTGAATAGTGAGATTTCTTCTAAAGGTATCTGGATCGTGTAATAGAAGGGTATTGACTAGACCAAATAATTGCATCACTCGTTCATCCTGTCTGAGATCTTCGTGCCCTTTCAAGAGGAACATATAATCCTTACCATTACTGCCTAAAAATTACAATTTAATTATTGTAAAAGAATTCAGCATGGTATTATATTATATCGATTAAACTTTCGAAGATAACCTACCTTTGATACACAATTTTCGCGGTCGCTGTTTACTTGTAATCACTTGCATGGAGCTATGTATACTAGCTATTCTAACTATGGGCTGTCCAGGACTATAGCTTCCTGGTACAGCCAGTTCCAAATCCCTACACAGAAGCAACTTAGGACTGACATACTGAAGCTCTAAACTAGTTAGTTGCGGTAATTGTCGGGATATTCTTCTGAATACATGATAATACAAATCCCAAGCCTGATTCAAGTCCCTGACGTTACGGGATGCTTTGTACCTACGACACCATTCCTGTGCTTCCATTAAGTCTCTACCGTAAGCCTGATTGAAAGATGTCTCTTTCAAAGTTTGTGGTCCTCTCTCCAACATTGCATGCAGAGGTTCCAATGTATCAAACATTCCACGAACGTTTCTTTCGCCAAAGTATAATCTACTGGCCTCTTCCAGTCCTTCGTGCCACAATTCATGCCAGAGAATGGCAACTCTGATCAACTCATCACTGGCCATTATTGCTTGTTGCACTAAAGTTGGACTGTGCTCACACATGCTCTTCAAGATTTTGTTCGCTGCAGTCTTCCTGGCATGACTGGCACTCTTAGATGCCACGGTCAGTGGATATACTAAGGCTTGGGGATGCGTTTTCCCAATGTCTATCAGGAGATGATGTATGCATCGTCCAACCAAAGCTCTGGGCGTGTCTATCCTCGCTATGAGCTGAGGGATTACTTGCAACCAAGTGTTGATCTCTATCAGTCGAATACCTTCCACGATAGCCTCATACACCTCGGGCCATTGGCCATAGTCGAACCATAGGGTCAATAAACGGAGCGTATCTTGCAAAGAGTTACCGTGAGAAAGATTAATAGATCTGAAGAATCCTTCCACAGCTGGTACAGTGAATTGCGATATATATTGTGAGCTAGACAAATTACCGCGAGTTCCATTCCCTGGAGTACTTTCTGCATTGGAAGAATCACCTTGTTGATGCTTATAAAATAGAACCGTTTCGAAGTTGGTATATGCAAATGCGTGCCACGCTTTATACCAAGTTGGATCGTGTTCCGTAGCTGCAGCGTAATAGGATAGCACAGCGGGTATAGAATGCTCATTAATGCCTTGCAAAGCCTCTAGCCATTCTCCAAGCTTCAAGTAACACCTAGCAAGTAATCTTTTTCTCGCCTCTTGTTGCTTTTCGTCTTCTTGATTCACCACGGACATAGTCGTCGGTTGCAGAGACGTTTGCACGAATCTTTGCAGCTGGCTATATGCTTCTTCCCGTTTATTCGCGACCCACATATGTTTGCAATAAGCAAAAGTCACCTGAGGATGAGTAGCCGGCAGCGATTGGTCTGGAGTCAACGAGGGATCCGTACCTAACAACATGACTAACGTTTTGTGACATAACATCAGGCTGCCGCTTTTTCTACAAAGACTAGCATACTTTAACCACGTGTACATATCATCCTGAGGCGAGACTACTAGCGTATGGACCTGTATGATCTTCTGCCAATCCTCCACTATTCTCTGCCCTCCTTGGAGCCTCTCCCACCACATAGATTTAATCGTGGACCTCCTTTCTGGGACCAGTTTGAACTGTATCACCTCCTCCAGCTCTGCCAATTTCTGAACTTCAACCATGGCATTGTAAGCTCTCTGGTAACTCTCGCCAGCCATAGCGGTCAACTCTGTATCCAATAAATCCCTGGCACTGTCTATGAGCTGATGAGCGACGTTATACTGTTCATCGTGGATCGCCAATACAGCTCTGTAAAAGGCACCATCCTGAGTGTCTTTGGGTATCAATGAGACATATCGCTCCATACTTTCCCATTGACTTAAACCCCACGCCGCAGCCGCTGCCATTCTAGCCATTCTTTGCTTGGTCTCGTTGCTCTGATGGGACCATTGCTTGGTAGCTACATCGTGCAACTGTCCCCATTCTCCAAGGGCCTCCAGGCAACGCATTTCGCCTAGAGTGGACTCCACATCAGCAGGATCACTTTCCAGTCTCTCTCTGTACAATTGTAACGCCTTGTCCCAGTTGTGCAGTTTTTCATACCATCGAACCTGCACCTTCAAATCTTGTTGATTATTCTGATTCATAACGTACTCTAACAGACCCTCAGCAGCCTCTTTTTGCTGAAGCTTATTATTGATGGAGATTAGAGACTCGAAAACGTTGCTGTTCCTGCTCTTATGGAATTCGTCCTCCTTGTAATGCAACGCTTTTGCGTATGCTCTACAGTGCATCGCCCTCTCGCCCAATATCTTGTTGTCTAGAGGCAATGGACCCTTGTCGCAATGTTCCATGAACTCTGCCAAGTTCAGAATTGTTTGCGTTATCTCTGGAAGATCTGGAACCATCAACGCCTGCTGCAGAGTCTGTATTAATTCTGCCTTGTATGTGTCATCTAGTTCAGTCCAACAGGAGACGAACGCTGCATTGAATAAGTCTCTCGGCAATTGAGAGTAGGTCTGCGCGAGGGCCCAACAAGATCTGAGTGCAGGCGATGGGGATTCCTTAAGCAAACCAATCGACAAGCTTCTCAACCACTCCAGCCAATCATCCTTCGAAACCCTCCTTGTCGCTGTCCAAGCCTTTTGAAGATTCGATGCGGACACATTTAATCGTTTGATCGTGGTCGTGTCAGAAGATGTCAGGGACAAATCACGGTTCTTATTCCTCGAGTGCCGATGTCTCATCAACAGATAATCCTCACCGTCGGCAACAGTGGTCTCTGTAAGGATCTTATCAATCAGAACATCGTAACGTGAATTAACAATCTTGTGTTTCGTCATTACTTTTTGTACTAATATTATGAAAATTTGATATTTCTTCCCTAATTGTATCACTAGAGCGCATAGTGTGTCCATCGCCGTGTTCCTCAGTTCTGGACACTGGTCCAGAGTTCGTACCAAAGGATGTACGATTCTTGACGCAAAATCGGTGAAGTCCAATGTGTCTGCTAAATGATCGACAGTTTCGAGCGCCACTTTGTTCACAGTTATCGGACAATCAGTGGCGTGAAACAATTTGATGATCGGTGGCAAGACTAGATGAAGATAATTATCCAGGTTATTACCAAACTTCTGAAGCGCCTGAAGAAGCTTTACCGTCACTGATCTGTCCTTGCTCGTGTCATGAGTTAAAACTCTTAGTATCTGTGGCATCAGCTGCGGCAGATAAATTTTGAATTCCGCGCCCAGTGCAACCGCAATGTGTTCTACCAATAGTATCAGCGTACTCTGTAACGGACTATTCACCGTCCAGAATTCTTTAATCAAGTTGAATATGTCATCCAAGTAGTTTCTAATATGCTGTTTCACGATGGCGATCAAGAAGGCCAACTGTTGGAACAGATACTCGTGAAAGTTCACGTCGGCCGTACGAACCACGTTCAAAAAACTAGGCATCACCTGAGAGATATATGGCACACACTTGATTCCTAGACTCTTAAATATAAAGGTGACCGCCTGAACCACCATAGTGTGGTGTTGGGACAACGTTGGATCACGAATGATCCTCATCAGTGTTGCAATGGCAATGGCTGGATAGTATTCTTCCAGAGTGGATGAGGACATGTTCACCAACATTTCACTAGTTGTCAGGTCTTGTGTATTCTCAGTTTCACTCTTGGTATCAGCCATGGAAGTTAGGGTGTCTAACTGAGAATCAATCTGGCCAAGGTTCATCTTATGTTTATATGGATCCAAAGCACCTAGTAAACCAAGAACCCTTATAGTCTCTCTTCTGATAATTGGTTGTTGCTCAGTTTTCAAGAAGTTTATCAATACATCTAATAATGAAGGATACTGCATGTATGGTTTCACAACATGACCTGTGCTACCAACTAGCTGGCCAAGAACCCACAAAGCCACTCCCCTTTTCTCTGGAGAACTGGCATCCACTAGCATTTCTAGCAGTATAGAGAGAAGCTCTGGCATCCATTGTTGCATTTCAGCACCATTGACCTCAGCCAAATCACCAATGGCTCTTAGTATGGCTAAAATTACACCAGGATTTGATTCAGGCTCCTTTAACTTTGGAACTAGAACTTTTAAAATCGGTTCCATATACGGACGTATAAGTCTGGGTGCACTGACGACCAGGTGATCCAGCATTCGTGCTGCTTGCTCCTTGTTACGTCCCATTCCTGAATGTTCTAGCTCTGTTAAAAATTGTATAAGGGTTTTGCGAAGAGAAGGCATCACATAAGCTGGATTCATCGTACTCAATCGTCCAATCGTACGAATCGCTAATTCTCTTATTTCAAACATTTCGTCGTTCATCGCGATAAACAATGCCGAAAGATTTTCTGCTTGTGCCAGATGAATGTCAAAAGAATCGTCTAAAGAAGCTAAGACCCAGAGTCTCACATCTGGATCTGTGTCTGTTATGCCTACGACCAACAGTTTTCCAAGAACAGTGGAGACGGTATTGGTCACTGTAGGGCCAGGTTGATTTAACGCTAATCGCAACAGTCTTGAACACGTTCTCACAGCCTCTAATCGAACCTCTGCTTGTTCAGATGTAAGGAAATGATCTGCACACCGCCTTACGAATTGCAACAGTGGATTACCGTCGAAATTGAACGTTCCAAGAGTCTTCAATGCTAGAACCGTAGATGGAATATCTACCTCGGTTGGAGGGGCAAAAATAGGACTAGTCGCAGTCCATGGTGCACCAGGATGTCTTAAAGGCTTTTGCATTAAAACCTGAGACATCATTCGCAGAAGTCCCTGAGAAATATCAGGCTTCAGTGATGGAACACTGTGAGCTAGTTCTCTAAGGGATGTCGTGAGAATAGGACTTAATCCAGTTTGCAGCATAGATTCTAGTAGATCCCTCACATCAGCGGCTATAACTTGTTTCACCGCGTGTCCGAGTAAAGTAATACAAACAAATACCGCGGGTTCCAGGGAAGCTCCACGTTTCTTGGTAGATGTTTCTTTGGAGGGTAACAAACTTTTGATCACCTCCATGATTTTTGAGAGATAAGGATTTATGGAATCTTCTACCGCAACTGCTATAAATCCAATCGTTGTGAACGCAGCATATCTATCTTTCTCTCTGCTACGTAAAGTCATTAAAAGATATGCCAGTGATTCTCTCAAGTGATCTTTTGTAAACTTTTCTTTGTTGAATGCTGCAAGTCTAGGTAATAACATCATAAGAGTGTGTTGAATATGTGGATTTCTGGATATTCTTTGATTCATTACGTCGTTGTAGATATCGTCCAGTCTTTCTTGCATTAAGCAACGACACACTGCAGATTCATGCGCCGGGTATAACGTTTGTTGAGAGTTAGAAGAATTTTGAGAGGAGCTAGTCCATTTGGACACTATCGTTGTTTTTAATCGTGGCATCAAAGACAGTATGTCGTTTTCGTTTTGTTGAGTGGAGCAATTCAGTCGTTCCATTAGAGCCTCGTAATTTCTCTCCCATTGAATGTTACTACATCTAAGCAACTCATTTAATATTAATAAAGAGCCATGTATTCTATCATCTCTATTCACTCCCCTTTCTCTAGTATACACTTCCTCGAATCCTGCCACTATTTCATCATAGCACTGCTTGTACCATTGTGACTTATGCATTTGTTTCGCTGTTTCTCTCTGTGCAGTAACAACTAAAGCAGCCCGTAATGCTTCAACAGCACCTTCCCTTATCACAGGTTTTGGATCACGTATTGCATTAAATATAAGTTCAAAAAATGGTGTCACTTGTTGAAAAAAATATGTTGGCATAGAAACGGCAAGTTCTCTTAAAACGAGAACAGCAGCATGTCTTTTACCTTCGTGTCTGTCTCCACCAAGCCACTCAAAGGCACGCTTTACTTCAAATTCTACATATTCTGCTGTATAAGTACCAGAAACTAATGCTAGTTTACCAACTGTTTTAGCAGCTAATTCCATAACACCCACATCACTAGAGGGTAATAAATTCCTCAAATAATTAGCAAATCTTATAGTTCTTGTATTAATGTTTCCTACATCAGCTCCAATAAGGCAAACTATGGCTAATATTCCTCCCTTTTTTTCATTTACATCAGACCCAGATACCATTTCAAAAATGTGGTGATTAAATTCATCCATAAAAGCTGTAATTTCCTCTTGTGATGCTTCTCGTAGTTCTGTCTTAACATAGAGACACAGATCTCTGGCTGCTTTATTACGTAGCTCTTCATTTCTAGATTTAAGTCTCTGAACAAACTGCTGTACAAGCATACTCGACATTGTTAAAAATTAGCTAATATCAGTTTTACAATGTTATTTTTATAAATCTTTTCGTAATGATATCTGAAAAAAATGTATGACATTTTCAAATGCAAAATGTAAGGTTAAGGCTGTATTTAAATTAGTGCTATTTTTCACATACCTATCTGACATCACACGAATTTTGTGTTATGATACCACATTTTCACGATTGTCATTACCCCTTTAATTTCCTCAATGAATAAAGTTTCAATGAGTTTGCAATCACATTATTACAGTACGACGTCTGTCACGTAAATTCTTCATGTTTTCATGCTCACCAATTACGGGTCAAATAAATTACAAGTTGGGTTCTGTGTGTTATACACACACAACGACTAAATTAGTTCGATGCCATTAATTCTATGAACTTATAGTAAATATAGAAAAACAAAGGTAGTACGTTCTTCGAGAGAACTATCTTAAGTTTATAACCCCTACATTGGTTAACACAGTCTGTTCAACTAAATTGTGCGCTTTGGAATATTTCCCCCACCCTTCTTGTTTAGGTGAATGCTCACGTTACCTACTACATTTAATTCAAACCCAATTTTCAGCCTCGTAATTATAAACGAATAGGAATACGAAACAAAATGATTTTTAAATAAACCATTAACTATATTCTATAATTAAAATACACATTTTAAGTTTTGAGATTATAAAATTATTTTACCAGCACCGAATTGGTATCAATTTCAACGTTACGTCATATGATCAAAATAAATAATATTACAAAACTTATTGAATCATTTATTCCAATTTGGCTTACTGTATCAACTAAATATAGTTGGTAATGTATCGAATATATATAGTACTGTGAAAAATATGTATAGTTTTCAAAAATGCTGAAATCATCCACACAGTAATGATGATAGTAGAATTCATTCATTACTCTTATCCCGTCACGTGACTAGAGGAATATTTTTTCATACTCTTTCCATACTTAGGACAACCTAGTAATAGATAATTATTAACTTAAAATTGAATTCAATTTTATAAATATGAATTAAAAATCATTCCAATATATTTACTAATATTTATAAATGGGCTCATTTAATCGATGTATTATCCATTCTAAAAGTGATTATAACACTCTCGATGATGAGACATAAGTTTTAATGACGTCTTATTTTACGAATCACTTAGTCTGCAGATGTATTAAAAAATGACGCTTCTTTGGAGGTTATTTACGAAAAGTATCACTTCGCAAAAAATAAAATTCCACAAATCAACGCTTTCACATAAACAATTATTTTATACGTGTTCAACACCATCAGTTAGAATTTCTAGAAAAATATGTGCACTTTCTATTTTAAGATGTCACGGAACCGATGCTTTAAAAATCAAAGGTTTAAAGTCTTCTGCACAATTAAATGTAAAAAGGAAAAAACCATCAGAACTTAAAAATTTGGTTGTGCTAGCAGTACCTGAAAAATGGAGGTTATTTGGTGCTATTACTTTTCTACTGATTTCATCAGCTGTTACAATGGCAGTACCATTTTGTTTAGGGAAATTAATTGATATTATTTATACAAGCGACAAGAGGAAAATGGCAGAAAATCTCAACCAATTGTGCATCACTTTATTTGGAGTATTTGTTATTGGAGGTTTATGCAATTTTTGCAGAATATATTTAACATCTACCACTGGACATAGAATAACTCAATCTTTGAGAAAACAACTATATGCTGCTATTCTTCGCCAAGAAGTGGCAATGTTTGATAAATGTAGTACAGGAGAATTTGTAGGCAGATTGTCTGGTACATATACTAATTTTAAAAAGTTTTATAATACTAATACCATTATTTTATTCATTTTTACATGTTATTAATTCTAGGTGATACACAGCTTGTTAGTCATGCATTGACAAGCAATATATCTGATGGATTACGTTCTGCTTTCATGAGCATTAGTGGAATATCCATGATGTTTTATGCATCACCCAAATTGGCTATTCTTGGTTTAGTTATAGTAGTACCAGTTGCTGGTTTAGCCATAGTGTGTGGGCGTTTTCTAAAGAAGATCTCCAAAAATATACAAGATAACTTAGCAACATTGAACACAATAGCTGAAGAAAGAATTAGTAATATAAGGACAGTAAAGGCTTTTTCAAAAGAAATAAGGGAAGCCAATAATTATAATAGCCAGCTGGATAATGTGCTTAAAGCATGTTACAAGGAAAGTTTATGCAGAGGAACATTTTTTGGATTAACTGGTTTCTTAGGAAATATGATTATGCTGTCTGTTTTGTATTGTGGCGGAGCTATGGTGTCTGACGCATCTCTTACAATCGGAAGCTTAAGCGCATTTTTGATGTACGCCACATATGTAGGAATTTCTTTAAACGGATTATCTTCATTTTATGGTGAATTAAACAAAGCACTTGGTGCAAATACACGTTTAGTTGAGTTGATCGAAAAAGAATCAGCGATACCTATTTCTGGTGGTAAAATTTTGGAAAAGCAGCTCTCAGGTGATATTGAATTTCAGAATGTCAGTTTTGTTTATCCTACCAGAGAGAATACATGGATTTTGAAAAATTTCAGTTTAAAGATCCCAAAATGTACGGTAATTGCTATTGTTGGATCATCAGGATCTGGAAAGTCTACAATAGCATCGCTCTTATTGAGATTTTATGATCCCACTTTAGGATCCATACTTTTAGACAATCATGACCTCAAGTCCCTTAACCCTGCATGGGTCAAGTCGCAGATCAGCATTGTTCCTCAAGAACCAATTCTGTTTAGCGGTACGATAAGAGACAACATATTGTATGGAGTAGAAGATTCGACGAAATATAATATAGATGAAGTTGCAACATCTGCATATGTTCTTGAATTTACAAAAAGCATGCCAGATGGTTTGGATACGGTAGTTGGAGAACGAGGCATTACCCTCAGCGGTGGACAAAGGCAAAGAGTCGCTATTGCTAGGGCATTAATAAAGGTAAATACCTAATTGAAGTATCGATTACGTATTGCAACTAACATTTTGAAATTATTTTTGTTTAGGACCCAAAAGTCTTAATTCTGGACGAAGCGACGAGCGCGTTAGATGCGGAAAGTGAACATTATATACAAGAAGCTTTAGAAAAAGCTGTTCAAGGACGAACAGTTTTAACTATAGCTCACCGATTAAGCACGATAAAGAATGCAGATAAGATTGTTGTTTTGAAGCAAGGACAAGTAACAGAAATTGGAACTTATAAAGAACTGATGAACTTGAAAGATAGTTACTTTAATAAGTTGATTCAACATCAGACTTTTACTTAAATGTTGAATACTCGTAAATATTATAAACAATGTTTGAAAGATTTATAAAAAGAAGGAAAGTATGTGTGTATGCGGTTCAATGGTTTAGCATAGGACCAAAAACAAATTGTTTAATGCAATAGATATCTAATAATACATAAACAAAATTTAAAAAGGTTATTGAAAGTCATCACGTTTGTAATAAATAATTAATAAATTTATTAATTTAATTGCTGAAATACAATAATCCATTAATAATGTTTTAGTTATCCATGGTTTCTTCTACACCTTATATTATTCCTTAAGAAATTTTTAAGTAATACTATAAAAATGTATGCTTAAATAACTTTTACAATCACTGTTTTTTACCATTTACTATCCACTTTTTCATGAACAGGAAATAGAAACACATTGAGAAATTATGAATTTCGAATTGAGAAATAAAATCTGTTTAGCACGCACTCGTTCGATGTATTAAAATATTTTATATAACATATAAGCACTTATGTAAGTTATGATTTCATATAAAAATCACAAAGCCCATATTTCTTTGATCTAAGGTGTAAGGCAGGTATTATAAATAATTCCACTTTGGTAATCATTTTTAATATATTTTCCTATAAAATAATGTACACTGCTATTTTTTAAGTTATATCAATGTCTTATATCATTGGTCTATGTCATCTTTAAATTAATATACTGTTACTACAATTAGTTTAGGATGAACTATTTCTAGACTTGAATCCACATAAAAATATTCAATGAAAACACATGACCAGAAGCAAAATATTGTAATTAAATCAGGTAGATATATAAATCATTATATGAGCCTGTTTAATACATTCTCCTTTTAGGGGAAAGGAGGGTATTACAATATTTATATTAACTGACAAGCACTCAACTGTTATCCTTTAAAACATAGCAAGGCATAAAGAGAGCAATTAACCATTCATTTCTTTAATTGAAAAAAACAAAACCTTTTTATCCTTGCTATATTTTACACCTTTCTCTATGTAGGAAATATGTGTAACAAAGGCATTTGTTTATCGATTACAACTTGAATCATAAATGGAATCTGTGATTTGATCCCATCACTATGCTTAATACAATTGGAACATTTGTAATTTTCAGTCATCTTTGTGAAAATATGTCATTGATAGGTATTATTAATTTTTCAAAACTGGCGCATTTTTCATGTTATTAATTATTTCTCAATTATTAAAATTGCAAGATATCTCCATTAGATAAGACCTGTGTTTAATAGTTGGATTTAAAACTTAATTTATGCTCCTACATGCCGATAAAATATATTATAAAAGGTCAGAATGCATCTTTAAAATGCTTCTTCATTTATATCACATGTATTTGTTAAGAGCCATGTTAGAATTTCATATGCTCCAATCATAAACACAGTCAGATCCTAAGTAGAAACTTCAATTCTATAAATTTATGCTGAACCTTTTTATAAACAGATTTGAGTTGAAACCCAAATCATGGTCAATAGTAGTTATTAATATTATAATGTTGTCTGGGAATAGACAGTGCTTTGCTTTCTTTTTACAGGAGCTTATAAATTTGTATGAACAAGTTTCTGTACAGTACGAAAATTTATCCAATTTAATGGTAATTGTAAAGTTAATGAAACAGTAAATAGTGTATAATCAGAGAATCCTTTGCAAACCTTATAATATTTCTTCATACTTCTTACATATCAAATCATTTAGGGGAAGCCATACAAATTATATTTGGACTACAACAAAGTTTTTTTTATATGGACAAGTTTGTCCTTTCAGTACTTGTTTTTATGTGTTCTGTTAAAATAAAAATCAAGCATTAAAAGAAATGAATAGAACCTTCTTCTTACACATTATTAACTTCTAGATGATTGTGCTGCTTCTTGCTCCACTTTTTTACTCATAACATGTTCTATTACTTTCTCACTATGCTCTATTTTCTTTACAGTAGGAGCTATATTGTTACCTTGTAGTTCTGTTATGTTACTATCCTCAACAGACATTTTCTCTTCATTTTCTGGTTGACACGTTGCTGCAGGATTTTGATCTACATCTTCTGATATCTCGACAATTGGAGAGGTGTCCTCTGCTTTTGTATTAGCAGACTCTATGTCTTTTGGTTCTTCAATAATAGGAATTGGATCAGGTACTATAGATTTCAACACCCTGGTCTCATCTTCTACAGCTTCTGTTATAGTCAAATTGTTTTTTTCTTGACCACAATTAAAATTTTCTGTTGCATTATTGTTAGAACATGGTTCTTCCACTATAGGTTTCAAATCTTCTGTTAACTCTGTCTCCTTATTTTGATCCTTTAAGTTTACCACATCTACAGACATTTCCTCAGATGTATTTGAAGTTTCTTCTATACTTGTGTTATCAGTGGATAAAATTAAATTATTTGTAGATTGTTCTGATTTATTTGTTATGGATGTGTTTTCTATGCTAACACTTTCTAAAGGTAATGACTCTTTGTGATCTACATTTGAACCAGCTGTATTAATAATTGGTTGAGTATTTTCTACATCAGTATTTGACTTTATTGTGTCTTCCAAAGTTTCATTAGAAGTATTTAACAGATTTTCAACAATTGGATTAAGAGATTCTTTATTATTCATCTCTGTTTTAGATTCAACATCTGACTTGACCAGTATGTCGTTAGTTTTACTCAGTCCTCCTTGCATATGTATTGGTGTTGCCCCAATTTCTGTCTTTTCATTTATCTTAGAATTATCTACATAAAACTTTGATGACTTATTTTCATTTGAGAAATCTTTTGTTTGGAAGGTAGTCTGTAATTTTCTTGAAGAATCTATAGTATCTCCTCCTTCATTTTCCAACTCTAAACTAGGTTGAGAACTAGTGTCCTCATTCATGATAGCTTCTGAAACATCACTAACAATCCCAGAAGCTTCAGGAACTATGGTAGACAGATTTTGTATTGTGGATCCTATTTGTGAATCATGTGTTTGTGCTTGAGAATTTAAATTCGATACACCAGAAAACTCTGAAGTACTTGGTATAAAGTTAGATACCACAATATCTGACTTGGAAGATGTTGATTCTACTTTCTCATGAGAAAGTTCCTCTGTACCGAACACACTTTTCACTACAGTAGTGGTTGGTACAACAGTATGTAACAAAGGTGTTTCACTTTCAACTGTATGCACGCTAATTGTAACTGTAGAAGGACAGTCTTTTTCCCAATATTCCATTTCTACATCCTGAGGAGGCTGTGTTACAGATGTGTCTTCATCTACAGATCCATTGACCATGCCATCTCCATTCTCGTTTCTCCTAGCTATTGGTCCAGGTTCTCTAGTGGAAACAACCAAGATATTCTTTTCAATGGCTCGCATAAATTTGTCAACTCTATTATATTCCTTACGAGGCGCTGTCAATAGCTCGCAAATCCGCTGAACAGTGAATGGAGCGTTCGCAAACGATTCCAGACGCTCCAAGAGATTACTTTTCATAGTATCATAATTGAAATGTTCGACATTTGGACATGGTGCGAGCTCAAGAGTTGGACAACTCTCGTAAAAGTCAGTCATTACCCGAGTGAGTTTTTCTCTGAACAGCGTTTTAATTAACGGCCACTGATAAACAGGATCTCCGGTTTTTGCAACCCAACACAAATAGTCCTCGAGTTCTCGAGGTATCTCACTCGGACGCATTTTCTGAAACTCGTCAAGCGCTTGTAATACCTCCTCCAGATTTTCCATCTTCTCCACCTGCTACCCCCTCCGCCTCCTTTTGTTCACTAAATAATTTCTGTCGACACTTCTTGTAGTACTGCTAAAACTTGCAGCAAAATTTTATGCAAGAAACAATGAAAAACGCAAACACACCGGGTACTAAATAGCAACAATGAAGGACGGGGAGCGAAACAGGGCTGCCAATACCCAAAAATCATGTCAATGTTGACAGCGTTTGGTTAGCTTCCATTTATTGGTCTATATTACATTAAACGAAATGATTTACAGCTTTTTTACATTTAATATTACGTATTTAAAGTGTGTTTCAGTTTCTCTGGCTATATTTAAAATAATACAACTATAATATAGGATATATTTTATGAAAAATTTGCATCAATAAAGAACAGCAACTAAAAGAAAGGGTATATTTCTTCTATAAATACTTCGTATATATTTAAGAAAATATTTCACAATGTTTAAATTAAATATTGTGTTAAAGAAGAACGGAAAAACAACAGTTATGTTTATAAATATTAAAAACCAAAAAACAAGGCTTTCATTTTCATATTAGTGTAGTGGTATTAACAATGTGAAGTTAACAGTACAACGTTTCTGAATAAAGTAAGATTTTTGCAGTTTATTTTCATAAATTGCTGTTTTTAACGATAATATAGAAATATGTTACATACATTTATTTCAATATGGCTTAAGATTTAAAACTTTCATTGAACATTAAGATTTTACATGTAAATGTACAAATAATCATAATGATAGAGTAAAATAATGTAATATTATTTAAGTTTTCATATTTTGTAGCATTTTATCTATTCAACAATCACATAATAAACAAATATGATTGTTTAAAAATAATTGCGCATTCGAAAGTTACAAAAGTCCCATTTGCATTTCAGTCTTATTCACAATTGGAGTAAAAATAAGTCTCTACCAGAAGATTAATTTTATTAACATAAAAAACTTTTTGGATGTTAACAGTAATTAACTAAGTGGTGTACCTCTTTTGAATGCATAATTAATAATTAATTACTGAACACAATATATATGATACAAACTCATCTTGAAATGGATTAGAAGTATTTTTCTTTAGAATTCTATTACAGAATACAACATAACAGATTTTACATCATGAGATGAATAAGATGTTCTCATTCATTAAATTATAATAGCACTTAATTGAAAAACTAAAGAAACACAGTTTTTGAAAAATGTAATTTTTCTTACTACATATATTGTAAATTGTTAAAAAAGTATCGTAAAATAATAATAAAAAGTATATTAATTAGATTTCGTTACACAA